GCGGCCGAAGATTTCTCTTTGTGGCTTCCCTCAAGTTGTCAAGACGTCGTACGCAATGAGGTACAGTAATTCAAAGGAGATGGAAGGGAAAACTGTTTTTTTCTGTGCGCAATCTGACAACGCGATGTGTCCTGGCAGAACTGAAATCCGGCTTCTCAAGTAGGCCTCATATCAGGCCTCGGGTCTCGAGTTAGCTAGGGTACCCGTGTCGGATCGGGGGTGTGTGCGCGCGTGCGTGGGCTCTGCATGTTATCGCTAAAACCCAAGTTGAAACTGCGTCCCCTTCGAATTCCATTTCCTGGCGTTTAGTGACAAGATGTGTAAAAGGAAAATGGCGTTTTTTTTAAAACAAAAGCTCTCGGAAGAGGGTGTTGTGCCGGGCGCTGGATGAATGAATGGCTGTAATCGAGCGGCCGGTCTGGGGCCTGCTCTTTGTTACCCACCGTGCCGGTTTCCACACGGCGCCGACCGGCAGTGCACCGAGGCCGGTGTGTGCTTCGTGACCTGGCCGCCGAGGTGCGGGCGAACCGAGGGTCTGTATGCCCGACGAGTGCCAAGGCACGTTCCTGCCTCCAACACCGTGCGGCTGTCCGGCATCGGGGGTCCCAGTCTCTGCGTGCCGGCTGGTTAGTGGCTTATCCTACCGGCCAGGGTGCTGGGGGGGGCTTGAGGTCAAAGATCCATGAACCTAGTGTCGGAGGGCCGTCTGGAATCGCCCTGTGAGGCACTGAGCCCGCGGGACTCGTGCAGGATGATCTGTGAATGAACCGACTGGCGACCACAGAGAAATTCAGAACAGGTGGCCTTTCCTTACACAAAGGGGGGTGTGTGTGTGGAACAAGCTGCAGGGGGTCAGTTAGCTACTAAATACCCAGCGGCTGGGCGGGCCCTGTGGCTCCACTCTGTAACGACCCCTTACATCCTCAAGACACGGGATCTTTATCGTGGTCTTGTGCAGCTCTACTGTTCACTTCAGTTCACGCACAGTTACCCTGCTGGCAGCCCACCGGAGCTCAGCATCCATCTCTGGAGGGGAGACCTCCTGGGAAAGCTGAGGCTGCAGCTGGAAGAGGTGTTAGTGGGACCAGCAGGGGGCGCTCACCCTGCGGTCTGTGTGGGTCCTAATGGCCCGGTACAGTGACGGGGACACTATACTGTAAACAGGCGCTGTCCTTCGGATGAGATGTAAAACCGAGGTCCTGACTCTCTGTGGTCATTAAAAATCCCAGGGCATTTCTCCAAAAGAGTAGGGGTGTTACCCCGGAGTCCTGGAGGTGCTACAGTCCGTCATGGAATTAACCAGGTGGACCGATCGTGTGACTGGAGCACCTGGTCTTCTGCAGGCGCGGTGGGGCTCACTCGAGCTTGCGTCTCTCTGCGCAGAGAGCAGAGGGGTGGCCTCGCTGCTCTGGTCCCGACTGGCCTGGTGGAGGCGGCTGGCTGGGTGTCTCTCCAATCCAGTGATGGAAGCATCTAACATCTCTCTCTCTCTCTCTCCAGAGGCGACAGGGGGCGGGGCCGGGGGGGCCGGTTTGGAGCCCGCGGAGGGCTGGCGCAGGGGTGAGTAGCTGCTGGTGGGGGGGACGTGCTTACTGTACCTGTGCAAGCAGTCGGACACCCCGTCGGTGGCAGACTGATCCACTCCGGGTTTTACAGTGTTGTTAATCAGACTCCTGGCATCCAGCAGTGCGCTCCAGTCTGGGGGCTAACAGTGTAGTTAATCACACCACAGTGCGCTGCAGTCCGGGGGTTAACAGTGTAGTTAATCACACCACAGTGTGCTGCAGTCCGGGGGTTAACAGTGTAGTTAATCACACCACAGTGCGCTGCAGTCTGGGGTTAACAGTGTAGTTAATCACACCACAGTGCGCTGCAGTCTGGGGTTAACAGTGTAGTTAAT